AAGTTTTTTGTCGCTCTGTTTTCACCTGGTAATCTGGCCAGTAACACACCTCTTGTATTGGAGTGTCGCCACTCTGGATGAAGGAGCACAGGGGACACAGCATACAACAGCATTGCCAGTCTTGTGGGAGTGCAGTGTTAAATGTACTAACAGATGTGTATACACCAACAAATTGAAGTCAAACTCCAGCTGACATTTTATAATCAGTTACAGCAAATAGTTGTTTTCCTTTCGGGATAAAGGTTTTACTTGAATAAATAAAAGCTGAGCATTGTAAGCAATCCTGTCAGTTGAAAATGGTTTCTCTCATCCCTCTCTGATGTACAGCCTGTTCTAAAAAAAAGAAATTGAATGCATCCATCACATCTAAGAATTGGGAAGCTGAAATATATGAAATGCTTGATTTGGGGTTTCATACTGCTTTTAGCTCACAAAATAAAGCACCAACACACTCCACCGCACTCTACAGTATGCTGAACCCCTTATATCAGCTGCTGCCCCGGGAGGATTTTATCATTTAATGTCCTTCCCCAGTGAAGAACTAAAAGCAAATCTCTAACTTCACAGTTCAAAGACACCATGTGAACTACCTTATCCTCCAAGGGATTTTTTTATTCTGTCCAGCCACTTTTGTGATTCATTAGATAAAGTGCTAAAAGCATTTGTTTGACTCACCATTAACAGTATTGCCACCCAGCAGCATATGTCTCTCTTCTGACATTATTCCATGAGAAGCATTTTTGTAGTGAAGCTGACTAAACACTGTACATCCTTGACAGGTGTGAAGGGTTTACATTTCAGTGTTTGGTTGGATGCATCACCACAGTAAGGGAAATTTTGCAAGGGTATCCATTTGTGCTCTCCATGGTCCTGACACCATTAAGAGCATGAGTGCTTTTCCTGCCCACAGGCGAAGACCACACAAACTAAAAACTGCAGTTTATAGCTCAGCATTTCCCAAGCATTTGTAATTCTGTGTTAAGTCCATGTATGCATCAACTTTCAGCACTTTTGTCTGAAAGCAAGCCACTAGATTACACTGAAACAAAAGTAAAAGGCTCTGCAATCATATAAATATCCCTTGTCCAGATATGTCAAATGCAGAGCAAAACGCATCCATCTGATATCCCTCTCTTGATAGGTAGATTTGTGTTATTATCTGAATATTCAGTCAGATCTAAAATTCAAGTCACACATTTCTACAGATAAATAAATCAGTGTATTTATAAATGCTAAATCAGTTTCCATTTAATTGACCTTAGATTCAACTGGAGATAACAAATGAAAAGAATGTAATGAAAAAAAAAAAATATAGCGCTTTGGATCACTATGCTTTTGCCAGTGGCAACCAATGTTTTGCTCTCACTCCAATTCACACTATGGTCCCTCAAATGTTAGACATGGAGAAAATGGCCATGGGTTAAGGGCTTAAAATTTCAAGTCCTTAGCTACTAGCCAGGCCTTAGAGTTACTCGCCACCAACAAACACACACAAACAGAGACACCTGTACACACACACAGACATGTACATACACACACAGAACCATGTACACACACGCACAGAGACATGTACACACACACATACAGACACGCATACACACACAGGCACGTACAGACACGCATACACACAGATACATGTACATACACAGAACACATGCACAGACACATGCACATGCACACAGACACATGTAGATACATACACAGACACATGTACATACATACACACAAACACACACACATGTACATGCACACACACACAGACACATGTACACACACACATACATGTACATACACACAGACACATGTACAGATACACACATGTACATACACACAGGCACATGTACAATTGTGCATGCATACACAGACACACACAAACACACATGTACATGTACACCCCCCCCCCCCCATAAAAGGTTGCAGTACTTCGTTGTTCACTCACAGATCCGGGTACTGCACTCTAGGGGGAGGCAGAGAGCACAGCACACACTCCTTGCTTTGCTTTCACTGCGCTCAGCTATTGAGCAGTCTGACGGCTCCCAGTGCCAATGACAGATCCGGCCTGAGCTCCGAGACTGCTCAGCAAAATTGCCCTGGGGGACACACTCACCCCCACCATAATTTCCACTTGCCATTGGCGAGCAGGCGAGTGGAAATTTCAAGTCCTGGGTTACACTATATAGAGCAATGGAGCGACGAGACGTCCAATCACAAATCCCTGAGGAAGACATGTGACCCTGTGGCGTAATGCATAGGGGAGTGGCTTGGTGATGTCACAATACTCACGGTCAGCTAACCCACTCCAGAGAGAGTTCACGGAGAGGAGTCCAGAGAGAGCTTGTACAGCCAGAGGGTGTCAACTATGTTTTATATATTTTCTTATGTGTGCAATATTGGGTGCAATGGAGCACCTGTATCATGTGAGTGGCTCTTGTCAGTTTTTAAATGATAAAGCACTATTGGCTTGCCTATGTATTTTCTATATGTGTGCTGAGCGGAGGAGAAGGAAGGAGCTGAAAACAGCGAAGGAGAATCTTGGTAGAAGTCATACCATCAATATATGTCCACCTAAAGAACGCAAGCCATTTTTGACAAAACTTAGTTGTGAGGTCAAAACTTTCAGGTGTGAGCAGAACTGTTGTCAGTGTTGATGGAGGTACACTGTATATGAAAAAAGGAAGATTTTTACGGTATATGTCTTGTGCATATTGCTTATTATATATTTTTTAACTACCTACTTCACATTGGGATTATTTTCATGCTCATATTTTATATTTTTTATGTCACTATGTATATTTGAGAGCAGTGCGGCATGGTTATTGTATGATTTTGGTCATTTCTACATTTACACCCCCTGGATTGAGGGACTTTAATTCATAAATTCCCTCCTGGAGAGGTCCTTGACAATACTGGAACCCCTCCAGGAGGGATAGACTTTATCAATCCCCCAAAACTTCAGACCTGGTGAATCCCTTTAAGGTCTATGTTGGTTTCACTCCAAACACCTTCCCAAACAAGCTCAGTTTTCTGACTTGGTAATAGAACATTGATATAATTAGATTTCTTTTAAAGTTTTAATGGATTGCCAATTATTTACCCAGAGAGAGAACTGCATGCAGCTTCCATGAAACAGCATGACTATCCCCATATCTGAATTGACAGTTATAAAAAATGAGATAAATGACATTAATTGCATAATGATTTTTCTCTACAGAACAGAGTCTCGATGTACTCCCTCCAGGCAGCTTCAACTGCAAAGTCTAAAAGTAGAAAGAATTAACCTAATCCAAGTCTGATTCTCTGAGATATTAAAGGCACAAAAACATATAAAATGTAGTGCGATTTTCAATGGGAAAATCAAAGAATGAATATACTCTGAAGCAGGCCATAGATATTCAAGGGAATTCAGATGGGCAGGAATGATCTGACTGCAGAAAGATTTTCAAAAGATCCTGCAATAAAGAGATAAATGAAAATTACTTTAGAATTCATGTTTATACCAATGGATCAGGGGCCAGCCAGACCTTATTACAAGAGTTACATCAGAACTAATAATGGTGTTATCATGGGTAGTCACTGTTACTTGTGTGATTGGCTTGAGTAGTTGTTTACTGTCTGCTGATGTTCACAGTCACAAGGATTCTCCCCCAATCCAACCAGCCAGATCAGATTACTAACTTAATCATTAAACTGAAGTTTAATATCCTTATATTTTTGCTTTCACGCCATTCCATGTGTTGTGAATGTCTGAGGACAATCTGCGAATGTCTGCCCATTTTCTCACATTTGCTCCAAGTGTTCCAAACTAGATTGCAGCAGAATTAACACAATGATCTGTTGCACAAAGAAGTGAGGTGGACTACTTTTTAAAACTGTTGTGAATATCTAAATACTACAATTTAAATGCTTTTCTAGAAGTTATCTTATAGGCCAGCTGCGACAATTTGGCAAATTTGTGGCAAATGTACCACACTTCTGCATACTCCAGCAAAAGAACTGGGGCAAAGCATCACATCCCATTTAGTATTTGAAAAGTGACATTATGATAAATATATCAAATTTCCATTATACATTAGCATACTGCAGTACAATAATGGACAGAACCACTGTTATTTTATTGATGAATATTCCCCAATGTTCCTTGCATTGAGAACATGGAATGTGTATCTCTCCTACTGCTCATGCTACTGCACTATGCAGTATGGAAGGGATATCAACAAAAAATGACTTTACAGAATCCAACACTAGCACAGTGTCAAATTCCTGGTCCCCATTGGTTTACAGTGGTTCAATTAATGGACTTTTATGTCACTTCTTTGTCCTGTAGTGACAGGGGTTGGCAGGATGAGTCACAGCTACAAAGGAGGTGTTCCTTTACTTCTTGTCCCAGAGAAAAAAAAGTACCGTATTTTTCGCACCATAAGACGCACTTTTTCCCCCCCAAAAAACGGGGGAAAATGTCAGTGCGTCTTATGGAGCGAATATGGAGCGGCCGGTCTGGTATTTCCACTGCCGCCGTGTCAGAATACCGGGCCGGCCGCTCAGCTCTACAGCGGGACCTTATAGAGATGACTGCTGACCTTTGGGGAGGGGGGGGACGGGTACCTGAATTTGACAGATACCCGCTCCCACTTCCGTGGAGTTGTTCTTTCATCTTACCCGTTCCTCTATCCAGCGGCGCGGTCTTCCCGGCTTCTGTAGTGTGGGCAGGACAGTCGGGTGCCAAGTGCGCATGCGCAGGAAGCGGTGCTTTTTGTGAATGGTAAGGCGGCACCTGGGACACATGACAGATCCCAGAAGCCGCCGGACCAATCACAAAGCGCAAGTGCTTCTCGCTCATACGCACTGGGCACCCGGCTGTCATGCCGAGCGCCATTACAGAAGCCGGGAAGACAGCGCGCGGCTGGATAGAGGAACAGGTAAGATGAAAGAACAACTCCGCGGAAGTGGGAGCGGGTATCTGTCAAATTCAGGTACCCGCTCCACCCCCTCCCCAAAGGTCAGCAGTCATCTGTACTGTCCGCAGTCTCTGGTCATCCCTGTGCTGTCCGCAGTCTCTGGTCATCCCTGTGCTGTTCGCAGTCTCTGGTCATCCCTGTACTGTGTCCGCAGTCTCTGGTCATCCCCTGTACTGTGTCCGCAGTCTCTGGTCATCCCCTGTACTGTGTCCGCAGTCTCTGGTCATCCCCTGTACTGTGTCCGCAGTCTCTGGTCATCCCCTGTACTGTGTCCGCAGTCTCTGGTCATCTCCTGTACTGTGTCCGCAGTCTCTGGTCATCTCCTGTACTGTGTCTGCAGTCCATTAGTTCAGAATTTTTTTTTCCTGTTTTCTGCCTCTAAAACCTAGGTGCGTCCTATGGTCAGGTGCGTCTTATGGAGCGAAAAATACGGTAATTGAAAGGAGATCTCTCCAAAGTAAAGAGAAATTCCTTTCTAGACAATTGTCATCAGAACAGATGTTCTAATTTAAATATTTCCTCTCAGCTTCTGTCCAGTGACTACTGTAAAATATATTTTTTTCTAAGGCACTATGAGGATCAGCATTATCCTACTTCACAACAAGAATATTCTCTGATTTTCTCTTTGGGGGCTGCAACTGAATGAACTGAATGTTAGATATTTCAAGTCTACACAATAAATAGATATTTTACTTTTTACTGTAATAATATACACTCACCGGTCACTTTATTAGGTACACCTGTTCAATTGCTTGGAAACACAAATTGCTAATCAGCCAATCACATGGCGCAATTCAAAGCATTTAGGCATCTAGACATGGTGAAAACAACTTGCTGAAGTTCAAACCAAGCCAATAGGGAAGAAAGGGGATTTAAGTGACTTTGAATGTGGCATGGTTGGTTGTTGGTGCCAGATGGGCTGGTCTGAGTATTTCAAAAACTGCTGATCTACTGGGATTTTCACGCACAAGCATCCCTAGGGTTTACAGAGAATGGTTCAAAAAAGAAAATATCCAGTGAGTGACAGTTGTGTGAACAAAAATGCCTTGTTGATGTCAGCAGAGAATGGGCAGACTGGTTCGGGATGATAGAAAGGTAACATTAACTCAAATAACCACTCGTCACAACCAAGGTATGCAGAATATCATCTATGTAACACGTTGAACGCTGAAGCAGATGGGCTACAGTAGCAGAAGACCACATCGGGTGCCACTCCTGTCAGCTAAGAACAGGAAACGGAGACTAGAGTTCATACAGGCTCACCAAAATTGGACAATAGAATATTGGAAAATCATTGCCTGGTCTGATGAGTCTCAATTTCAGGAGTGACATTCAGATGGTAGGGTCTGCAACTAAGTGATACTATCATGTCAATGTGGACCACAGTCTCTGAGGAATGTTTCCAACACCTTGGTAAATCTATGTCACAAAGAATTAAGCCAGTCCTGAAGGCAAAAGGGGGTCCAACCCAGTACTAGCAAGGTGTACCTAATAATGTGGCCGGTGAGTGTACATTTGCAGTTAACATAAATGTATTTGTCTGTCCATGAATAGAAGCAGCATGAATTTCTCAGGTGAATGGCTGCAGTTAATAAAGCAAAGCTAATAAACAGTGAAACGTTTGATGTACTGTTCCTTGGCGCTGTCCACAGGCAAAGCATCATACAATTTTAGATTCTGATATAATATTAAAGAATGACAATTGTGTTCGTTTATCAGGGCATCTAAAGGAAGTATTATTTCTGAGTCTGTGCTGCCCAGAACCACAAATTAAAATCTCCCTTTATTTTTCCCAAACTTGACCAGAAAAGGAAAGGTGAGAATCTGAAATAATTGTATAATATATAAAATAGTATATAGAACAATCTGTGCAATCAGATTGTGCACATTGTTATATATATAGTTTTTTATGTTCTTGTTTTTTCACAACCAATCTAGCAGCAACCATGGAGGTATTTCATTTTTGAGAGGTAGATTTGGAGGAAGTTTTTTTTTTTAGGAGATAAAGGATTAGTGAAACCTAGTGATTTAAATAATTTTTTTACAAAAATCGAATCATGTTTTTGAAAAAAAGGCACGGTATGGTGAAACATAGCCATCTTTGAACTATACAGTATATAGCAAACAATCTTGTACCCTGTCGGCTTAGTTGGGATATCCCACCAAATGACAGGCTGGTGAATGAAGAATCCATCAAAGTATGGTACAGTTTTTTTTTAACAGTAAAGGCAAAGAGATGCTCCAATTCTTATTGAAAAGAAAACAGTTTAAAATGATAAAATTAGAAACACAGATAAAATAATTAAAAGAAGTGGTTGAAACACATACGGGTAAGCCTGAGTGTAACCAGTTGTCAAATGAGCTCAAAAATAATATTAAAAAATGGGATAAAGAACCTAAAAACCCCCCAGAAAAAATACTTACGAGATATAGGAGATTGTAAATATAATGAGGTAATTAAATGGCAGAGTAAAGTAGTGGAGGAACAAATTATTTTCACTAATACCTCACCTATTAAGGAACAAACTAAGATAACCCACCCAAGATAACTCTGGAGAAGGTAGAAGTTACCCCACAGAGCAGATCAGGGGTATGCAGAGAGGGAGGGGTCATCTGGGTCCACTTCATATAAAAGGCCCACAACCACCCCCCAGAGAATATGGAAAATATGGTCGTGGGGGGGGAAAATGACTGGGTACAGAAGGCATGGAAGGCAGGGTGTGTACATGAGGCAAAGTACCAATGTACAATGGATTCGCCCCTTTAGAGAATGACTAGGAGGGACTTCAGGACAAGGTTTTTCAGGAGGATACAAGACCCCTAGTGCAGAATGAGAGAAGAGGGATCCACTAGAAACACATTTGGGGGAAAAAGAAGAGGAAGAGAAGGAGAGGAGGATGAAGAGTACAAAAGAAGACAAGTCAATTAGGTGAAGGAATATACCATTTAAGTGGTATTCTGTTGAGTCATGATGAGATGAAAGTTTTAGACAAAGATCTTAACCACTTGCCCTCTGAAAGATTAACGCCCTTCATGACCAGGCCTTTTTTTTTTTTGCTTTATGGCGCTGCGCTACTTTAACTGGTAATTGTGCGGTCATGCAACGCTGTACCCAAACAACATTTATATAATTTTTTCATACAAATAGAGCTTTATTTTGGTGGTATTCAATCACCACTGGGTTTTTTTATTTTTTTACAATATATTTTGAAAAAAAACCCAATATTTTCTACTTTCAGTTATAAAAAATATCCAATAAAATCAAATGTCATCATCAGTTTAGGCCATAATTTATTATGCTGCATGTCTTTGGTAAAAAAATATCAATAAATGTATATTGATTGGTTTGTGTGTGAAAGTTATAGCGTCTACAAACTCTGGTATAGATACTGGAATTTATGCAGCTTTTACTTTCTGACCTACCTATCACATTTCTTGAGGTACTAAAATGCTAGGGCAGTACAAAAAAAACCCCTAAATTACCCCTTTTCCAAAAGTAGACACCATAAGCTATTTGCTGAGAGGCATGTTGATTCCATGGAAGGTTTTATTTTTTTCCACATATTTTTTCAAAAATAACCAAAAAAAAAATGTTTTTTTTTACACAAAGCTGTCACTTAAATGATATATTGCTCACACATGCCATGGATATATGTGGAATTACACCCCAAAATATATTCTTCTACTTCTCCTGAGTATGGGGATACCAAATGTGTGAGACTTTTTTGTAGCCTAGAGGCATACAGGAGTCTGAAATCCAATGACCCTTTGAAAGCCTGAAGGTGCATAATTTCCTCATTTCACTTCCTCACAACCTATTACAATTTTGGAGGCCCTGAAATGCCAGGATAGCACAACCCCCCTCCCCCAAATGACCCCTTTTCAGAAAGTAAACACCCTAAGCTATTTGCTGAGAGATATGTTGAGTCCATGGAAGATTTTCTTTTTCACACACGTTTTTGGAAAATTATTTTTTTTTTTTTTACACAAAGTTGTCACTTAAACAATATATTGTTCACACATGCCATGGTATATGTGGAATTACATCCCAAAATACATTCTGCTGCTTCTCCCATGAAATCCGACCATCGTCTGAAAAAAAACTATACCTGCAGCTGAAGGCATCATCCTGGTATAACCACTCAAAGTCCACTGATGTACCAGTACATTGCTGTTCCTTGTTGGGCATATATAATATGTTCTTTTTCTTTATGTAGCCTGTGGGCTGAATGAAAAACGTGTGTGGTATGCCCACCACTAGAATATACCGCCCTGATCCACCCACTTATAATGTTAGGCATACACACAATGAGCTGAACGAAAAAAAAAACGGATTCCTCCATTCACATTGATCGATGTGGATAAAGAAATGTCTGTCAAATTTTTTTTTTAAATATATGCCGAAGCATAGGAGCGATTCACCCACTGACCACCCCAGGCCCCAATGCTTGAGCATACATTTTTGTTTTACCCATTTTCAATGCCCTGACTGAGGGAAGAAGGTTCTCACCCAAGATTTGACAGTACATTGCACTGTCCATCTTCCCTTTGATGCCGTGCAGTTGTCCTGTCCCCTTAGCAAAAAAACACCCCCAAAGCAGAATGTTTCCACCACCATGTTTGACAGTTGGCATTCTAGGGGTCATAGGCAGCATTCCTCCTCTAAACATGGTGAGTTGAGTTGATGCCAAAGAGATCGATTTTGGTCTCATCTGACCACAACACTTTCAACCAGTCCTCCTCTGCATCATTCAGATGTTCAACTTAATAAAATGGTACATTTCCAGGCTGTAATTTTAGGGTCTCTCTTTTTTTTCAAGGCCCTGTGTGAATGTGTTCCCTAGACTGTGCCGTGCTGTACCCTATACTAATACTTCAATAGTGTGTGGTAGCAACGGAAGCAGTCCTTGAGGCAGAAACCAGGTTAGCCAGAACAAAAGGGACAAAAACAGTGGGTGGCACGTCTAATTCCATGTCTGCTACAGACATAACATCTTTTTGGGGTGACTTTTGGGTTCGGGTACCAGGAATGGTAGCTGGCTCACTGCATGGGAGTTTTGGGTCACAGCAATTTCTGAATACAAAAGTGCAGTGATGATCACTTCCTGAAATTTTAGAAGGATCCACTTCTTTCAGTTGCTTTGTAAAGCACAAAAGCATTGTACAGAGCCAATTATAATAAATATACAGACACTTTTTTGTACCATCGTCTGGCTTTATGGGAAACTAAGTACGGCTTCATCATCTGGTCACTGAAGTCCACCCCTCCCATGTCAAGGTTACAGTTGTGGACACAGACAGGCTTCTCAACACCAGTTGCCGTGCAAATT